TAGGGTGCTTACCTTGACCCGATGGAGTGCCCTCAACCTAACGACGTGAGCTTCCGGTTGCCCTCGCCTTTCGTGGACGGTGCTCCCAATCATTGTGGAAGGCGGGGGTCCCCCAGTGAAGGAGTTTGATGGTGGTTTAAACATTCTTCGCAAAATCTTGGTTGTGCTTACTCCTCTCGCCAACGGCTTGGGTTCTTTAGATGTTAGCTTTTGCTGTTTCCATGTGGCTTATCTACTTGGTTTGCGTTTTGATTCTACTCACACTAGCGCTTAGTTGGTCTGATCTTGTGTGTGCGCTCGTGTGTATGTAAGCTTGCCTTATAAGCTAGTTCGACACTTTGTATCTTTTTTTGACACTTTGTATCTCTTGATGTTCAAGGTATCATTAATTAAACCCTTAAAGGTGAAGAAGATGAATGTATATTTATTCTCTCCATGAACCGTTAACGGAATATGCAGATTATTACGACCATGTGTATGCATTGATTCGGCACTTTGTATCTATTGACGTTCAAGATATCATTAATTAAACCCTTAAATGTGAAGAAGACGAAAGTACATTTATTCTCTCCATGAACCGTTAACGGGATGTGCAGATTTATTATGGCGCCGGCGCCAAATAACGGTCGGCATCACAAAAATTCCAAGCCCCTAAGACACATGCAACTTTCCGTTTCAACTTTCAAATATTAAAACCGCGTGATCGCGCCAATCCAAACCCATCCCTGATTGACTCCAAGTATATGAATCTAGACACACATGGCACTAATAAACAACTTGTTACAAGAGAGCGAAAGCAAGACAAAGAGCATACTCCCAAACCTAATCGCGTGCCTCCAAAGGCATATTAGTAGGGTTTTTTAGCATCAACGTACTAGTGATTATTACAACAAGAGTGGCAAGGCAACATCAAACCAAAACCAAACCACATGATTAGCAAATACTATGTAAATAGGGTGATGATTAGTGCTCCAACATATATGCTACCAATCCAATGGGTTTGTCATTGTCATTGTCAAGATGCTATAATTTTTTTTGAGAAATGTCAAGATGCTATAATTTCTTTTGTGGAAAGAGGATGATGCTAATAAACTACTCCTACTAACCGGGCTCCCTTTCCATCTGCTCCCCCTAATCCTCCTCCCCATCAGATGTGGGCCTGGCCCGGGCCCACCACCAACGGAACCAAACAACAAGACCTTGCCACGCCACGCCGCCGAGACTCCACATTGTTGATGCGTGACATGAAATGACACTCCACCGCAAACCGTCCACTGGTCCCTCTAGCCAATGCACACCTCCAAGAATGACGCCTCCAAGGAGGGAACAACAGAAGAGATCCCGATCAACTGATCAAGGGTTCCCCCTGGAGGTAGCGGGAGGAGTTGGGAGCTTCACCTCGATGATGCCTTCATGAAGGACACGCCGCAAAGGCATCACCATCATCGGCTTCGGCCACCGGCCGAAGATCAGGTTTTCACCCAGATCTGTCCCAAGGACATCCACCTGACAACCTGTGCACCGTCCAGACTACTTTCAAAGCCCCAGATCTAGCCACCCAGATCCGGTGACCAACCACGACGGCACTGCCATCGTGGGAGCCCTGGCACACCGGCCACTGCCTGTTTGTGCCACCATTGGAGCCTGGAGGAGGGCCGCTACCCCACCTTGCCAAACCGCGAGAGCCGCCGAGAGGTATCCCGCGCGCTCTCCACCTTCTCTGATCCGAACCAATCCAGAGATAATACAAGCCTCTACACATGCATGGAGCATATTATATACGAGCAAGTTGCGAGAGGCGTAGGTGTAGCAGGTCAACGACCCAAAAGCAGAAGCTAAAGTATGGTACATTTGTCTATCTATCCATATCTTTAGGAGAAGCCCTTAATCTAGAGAAGGCAATGAAAAAAATATGTGCAATGTATTATTTATTATTCTTATCTCTGGTAACTAGATATTTCTAAATACGTGGTGAGAGTTATTATTGCTAAAAGACCATCTCTTAATTAAGAGAAAGTAAGTCTTTCTTATGCTTTCTCTCTCTGTCACCTCATCATTCATCTGACGTGCACTTTCAAAATGAAATAATTGTACACGCCCTGGTCTTATCCACCCATCCATACAAACTTAGTGTGAATTTATTTAGTTTCCATGAGATGATTGAACTAATGGGCATGCATGCCAGCGGTGATTAACGGCTAGCCTCTCAAGATCCAAGCCTCAACGAGTAGAAAAATTTTCGTTTGAAATTTCAAATGTCAAGACAAAACCTGATTGATTCCAAGTATAGGTAGAATATAGACACACAAAAGGTATAATAATGTAGTATAGTATTGGAGAGCGACAAGAGCAAACCCCCAGATTAATCCTCCCAAAGGATGTAGTACTCCTATAATGATAACGAAACAACACGAAGCCAAAACTTAACCTTATGATTGACAAATGATGAATGCTATATAGAGTGATGATTAGTTGGCACTCCAATATTATAATACTCCACTATGGCCTTACTAATGCTAGTTTTTGGTATTATAATTGTGAAGATGCTAATTGCTTTTATGGAAAGACACAACTAGCATATTTGTTATTAATAACCAGACCCCCTTTCTATCAAATTCCCCTAATCCCCCCTCCATCCCTATTACATCATGAGTGGGCCTAGGTCGGACTCCCTCCCACCAACGAAACCAAAGGAACAAATAACAACTATGTGAGCTCCCTCTGCTCCTCCCCCGAATGTGATGATAAAGAAGAAGACAAAGAAGAAGCATTATGGCGGCGAGATTCGTGGGTAGGTGCAGTCGGTGAAGAGGGCTACATGGCAGCTCACAAGTGGAATGTGTGGTGGTGGTGTGGTGCAATGGTTGCTATAATGATCGGTTGTGTTGAGACATGGAGGTGAGGAGTTATTGCTGGGGCCGTCAACGGTGGTGTCCTTAACATCATTTCCATCTTGAAGGCGCCATTACAACCTTGCATCCTCTTTGGCACACCAGGTCAAAACCCTCAGATCTAGTTCAAATCGGGCGGTGCACAGTGCTTCGGCATCATGCTCATCATGAATGCACCATCTTGAGGCGCGCTGTCTCTCTACTACTCTTAGTGGTGGCAGTGCTGGTGAGGTCTTTGGCGATAGGGTGCTCACCTTGATCTGATGGAGTGTCATCAACCTGATGACTTGAATTTCCGGTGGACCTCGCCCTTCGTGGATAGTGCTCCCAATCATTGTGGAAGGGGGTCCCTCGATGAAAGAGTTTGATGGTGGTTTAAACATTCTCCGCAAATCTCGGTTGTTCTTACTCCTCTTGCCAACGGCTTGGGTTCTTTAGATGTTAGCTTTGCTATTCCGTGTGGCTTATTGACTTAGTTTTGCATTTTGATTCTACTTACACTAGCACTTAGTTGGTCTGATCTTGTGTGTGTGTGTGTGTGTGCGCTCGTGTGTATGTGAGCTTGCCTTGTAAGCTAGTTCGACGCTTTGTATCTTTTTTTGACACTTTGTATCTCTTGACGTTCAAGGTATCATTAATTAAACCCTTAAAGGTGAAGAAGATGAATGCATATTTATTCACTCCATGGACCGTTAATGGAATATGCAGATTATTACGATCGACCATGTGTACGCGCTGATTCGGCACTTTGTATCTTTTGACATTCAAGATATCATTAATTAAACCCTTAAATGTGAAGAAGACGAAAGTACATTTATTCTCTCCGTGAACCGTTAACGGGATGTGCAAATTATTATTGTGCATGTGCGTGCGCTGGCGCCAAATAACGGTCGGCATCACAAAAATTCCAAGCCCCCAACACACAGGCAACTTTCCGTTTCAACTTTCAAATATTAAAACCGCACGATCGTGCCAATCCGAACCCATCCCTGATTGACTCCAAGTCTATGAATCTAGACACACATGGCACTAATAAACAACTTGCCACAAGAGAGCGAAAGCAAGACAAAGAGCATACTCCCAAACCCAATTGCCTCCAAAGCCATATCATTAGTTTTTTCCTCGGCATTGGCATACCAGTAATTACAACAACAACAACAACAATGACAAGGCAACATCAAACCAAAACCAAACCACATGATTAGCAAACATGTAAATAGGGCGATGATGATTAGTGCTCCAACATATATACCATCAATGGGTTTGTCATTGTCATTGTCAAGATGCTATAATTGCTTTAGTGGAAAGAGGATGATGACACCAATAAACTAGTCCTGCTAACCGGGCTCCCTTTCCATCTGCTCCCCCTAATCCCCCCCTCCCCATCACAGGTGGGCCCCGGCCCGGCCCGGGCCCACCACCAACGGAACCAAACAACAACTCCGTGAGCTCCCTCCCCGTCTCCAGTCTCCACCCCTCCCCGAAGGGTGCCGCGAGCTGCTGACCTCGCCGCGCCGCCGGCGACGCTTCCGTCCCCTCCGCCGCCGCCGCAGCTCCTCCGCGCGGGTGAGTGCCCCTCCTCCCCTCCGCTCTTCCTCGTCCTTCTTCCCACGCCGCGGTTCCGGGGGGCTGCCCCGAGCGAGCGAGTCATCTCCAGCGCGCACGCCGGGCTCCGATCCGCGCGGGACAGGCCGCGGGCCGGGCGGCCGAGCGAGCGCTTGCCCGGGAGGGAGCTGCCAAGCCGGGCGGGCGGGGTTCCCGCTGGGAATTTTGAATTTCGTGGCGGTTTCCCAGCACCGCCGCCGCCGCCCCCCGGAATCTGCGGTGGATTTCTGCTAGGTTTCCCGAGGCGGTTTCCGTGGTTCTCGACTGCTAAAGCTTGCCTTTTTTTCCCCTGCTCTCCTTCCTCCTCGTCGCAGATTCAGTTGCCCAGCGACCGGCCCACGGCCGTGGAGGAGCGGCGCTGATTGAGGCCGCGAGATTCGGGGTTCTGCCAGGGGCGGGGGAGCTCTCCGGGGCGATTCGGGGGCGGCCTCGTCGGATTCCGGCGGGGATTCAGCGGCGGAGGCGGCCTCGTTGGACTCCGGCGCTTGGGAACCCCTCCTAGGAATGGCCGCTGGCGGCGACGGCGGCGCCAAGTACAACTCGTACAAGGCGCCGGGGCTGCGGGGCGCGATACTGGAGGCGGCGCACGCCTCGTGCCTCGGGGACCGGTACGCGCTCGGGGAGCAGCTCGGGTGGGGCCAGTTCGGGGTCATCCGGTCCTGCTCCGACATGGTCACCGGCGAGGCGCTGGCCTGCAAGTCCATCGCCAAGGACCGGCTCACCTCCCCCGACGACGTGCGGGGCGTCCGGCTCGAGATCGAGGTCATGGCGCGCCTCTCGGGCCACCCCAACGTTGTCGACCTCAAGGCGGTGTACGAGGACCAGGACTCGGTGCACCTCGTCATGGAGCTCTGCGCCGGCGGGGAGCTCTTCCACCGCCTCCAGGAGCGCGGCTGCTTCCCGGAGCACGAGGCCGCCACGCTCTTCAGGTACCTCATGGAGGTCGTCGCGCACTGCCACAGCAAGGGGATCGTGCACCGGGACCTCAAGCCCGAGAACATCCTCCTCGTCAGCAAGTCGCCGTCCTCGCCCATCAAGCTCGCCGACTTTGGCCTCGCCACCTACACCCAGCCTGGTATGGTTGATTCACAAGTCTGGTCACCTCTGGATTAGTCATGTCTGGTGGTCTTTGGAGGCTAAATTGGGGGTTTGGATTTTGTCAGGTCAAAGATTGAGCGGCACGGTGGGGAGCCCGTTTTACATTGCGCCGGAGGTGCTTGCCGGCGGGTACAACGAGGCTGCCGATGTGTGGAGCGCCGGGGTTATACTCTACATCCTTTTGAGTGGCATCCCACCATTCTGGGGGAAGACCAAGTCGAAGATCTTCGAGTGTATCAGGTCGACAGAGCTGCGGTTCCCTTCCGACCCCTGGGACAGGGTTTCGGATTCGGCCAAGGAGCTCATCACCGGCATGCTGCGGCGCGATCCCGCACAGAGGCTCACAGCTGAGCAAGTTCTAGGTGAGACATCAGACATACATCATCTGTTTTGAAACCATAGGATGCTCGGCATTCCGTTCCTTTCTATATCATTAGCATCATACACAAGCATAGAAGTGACCTTTGGTTCTTGATGATTCATGTCCATGCCTTCATGCAACTGAGCTGTAGACCAGAATGTAGAGATCAATCGGAATTTGGTTGATCAGTATACAATTGTTTATTTAAAGCTGTTTTGAATAAGATATCAAGTCTTCACTGCTAAGTCATGAGCTAGCGCCAGCTAAAGGTTCAGTGTTAGGGTCATGTTCTGGATTTCTGGTAGAACCACTAGGGTACACAAATAAACAAGTCTGAATCTTTGCTGGCCCTTGAATGTTTCCTTTTGATAAATAAAATTCACATGGTTGCTTCTTTATTAGTGTTGATGATTCATCTCTGTCACCCTTGATAGAATCTTTGTTTGGCTGTCATTGCTTCATTTCCAGACCTTACTGTGTAGTACAGATCAGCTGTTAATGGTTTCCTTTCTCCTGATGATAGTTTACAGTTGTTTACCATCTGGGGTTTATTGCCTAAACAACCGCCCTTTGTGCAGAGCATTCCTGGATACGAGAACACGCCAACGATTCGCGCGATTCCTGCGGTGGTTGCCTTGAGATCGGCCTTGGGAGGGAGGAGCCTGGCTCGTGCTCGTTCTCCACGCCGATGGCGACACGCAGCCGCGACGTGAGCTTCAGCACCGGCGGCCCGATCGCCTGCCAGGGCCTGTCGGAAGAACCCTGCTCTCCAACATTCTCCTGTAGATCCTCCTTCTCTGCGTTCAGCGCAGCCAGGGCTCCAGCTCCATCTTGCGGAGCCTTGTTATTCTCATTCGGTGACAGCCCCGAACCCATGAAGGATGCTGCGCCTGTGGTGTTGATGCCGAGCTTCTCGTTCTTCTGTGGGCTAGGGTCCGACGAGCCTGAGCCATTGGTGGCATCAGGCGACATCACCACGGAGAAGGGAGCTCATTGTGTCGAAGACGCCGCGGTGGTGTGCCTCAACACCTCCTCCTCGGCTCTGAGGAGGATGGCGGAGGCGGCCCTGAGAGGGGCGGCTGTGACGAGGGCGAACCCGTCGTCACGCAGCAGGCGGAACCACACCATCGGCGCCGGCGACGAGCGGGGGCACCAGCACGACCTGGACATGGCGGTGGCCGAGTCGGTGATCCGGTGGGCGTCGTGCACGCACCTGTCCACCACCCTCTCCCTCCGCGCCTCGCTCGTGTGCTAGCATCGGCTCTACACCGGCGTCAGAGTTTGTTACTGTAGCCCGTCTCTCTGCTTGCACTGCGACGCAAGCCGGCGAAGTGAGATGAGACGAGAAGAGATTAGAGATGAGTGTGTCACTGCCACTGGTTGTAGTAGAGTGTAATCTGGACATGATGATATTGTTATAGACTTATATAGTAGATCGCCGAGTGTTTGTTGCTGGTGCCAAGTGGTGATGCGAAATCTGTGTTTGGAACTTGTGAATTTTGCGCGGAACGGGTCGATTTACGGAGAAATTGACCGTGTTTTCAGCCTCTGCGGCTGGAGAGTTTGTTCGTAAAATTTGAGAGGATTTGACCAGAAATTTGAATGGTTTCTTATATTGCTGAGAATCGTTTCCTTCTTTCAAAGAAGTTTAGGCAACAACTTCCGAAGCTGAAACTTTGCTCTGCCTCGCTCGCGCATTTCGTCGAACACCATGTCGTCCACCGCCGCCGCCGCCCCGTCCGACGGCGACGCCAAGCTCCAGTGCTTCCTGCAATGGCTCCAGGTCGCGCCCTCTCCTCCCTCCCCTAGCCCCCCCGGTCCCCGTGCTCTCCTAAACCCTGGCCGCTTTCCACCGCAGGCCAACGGCGCCGACCTCCGCGGCTGCACGATCCGCGCCTGCGGCCGCAAGGGCTTCGGCGTCTACGCCACCGCCGCCGATGCAGGCGCCGCCGACGGTAACCATCGCTCTTCTCCCCCCTGCCGGAGGCTCTGCAAGGCCCTGATCGATCGGCCGCGTGGTTGGTGGTGCAGGGGTGGTGATGGCGGTGCCGCTGGACCTCGCCGTCACCCCGATGCGGGTGCTGCAGGACCCGCTCGTCGGCGCGCGGTGCCGCGCGCTCTTCGAGGAAGGTGGCGTCGACGACCGCCTCCTCGTCATGCTCTTCCTCATGGCTGAGCGCCTCCGCCCTAGCTCCCTCTGGAAGCCGTAAGCTCACACCTTCTCCCCCTGCTCTCAACTCTGAACTCTGAACCACCGTTAACTTTTGTGGATTCTGCTCGTTGCGTCTGCAGGTACTTGGATGTGCTCCCGAGCACCTTCGGGAGCTCCGTCTGGTTCAGCGACGAGGAGCTCGCGGAGGTGGAAGGCACAACGCTGCACCGCGCCACGGTCATGCAGGTTCGTCAGTTGCAGACTGCTGCTTTTGCTTCTTTGTTGGATTGGGCATTGAGAGAGCAGTACATTGGTGGAAATGAACATAATGGGGGCTTTTGTTTCAGAGAGAATCGTTACAAAAGTTATTCGATGATAAGGTGAAAGGTCTGGTCGAGGAGCTTCTACATGTCGATGAATCGGGAAGGTTTGTTGAGATTTTGCTCCGTATTGGCTCTTTACCAAACACACGCACACACAGTTCCTTTATTATCTCAAAGGAATGCTTTTGTGCTGTGGTTTTGCTGTACAGGGGATTGCACCTTTTCATATATGAACCTCATACCCGTCAAATGTTTTATTTTGCAGCTCAATTGAAGTGCGGTTTGAGGACTTCCTTTGGTATGCGTATCACCAGTTGCATTTATAGTATTAACGGAAGTATATAAATTTTACTTGATATCATTTTGCCAGCATGGTTTCCCATGCTAATATGTGGAAAGTCCCAATTAGGTGAAAACTTTATTATCAAGGAATATGTACTTAATTAAAGCAACGGTTTCAACAGCCAATCCTTCCTTTAAATCCGATTGTTTAACAGCTTAGACTTCCGAAATGAGGCCTTTAATTATCTGCAGGTTTATTTCTTCTCTTTTTCTCCCCATGCCAATCACCAATATGAGTTTATGCCAGGGCAAACTCGATTTTCTGGACTCGAGCGCTGAACATCCCACTGCCTCATTCTTACGTTTTTCCGGGCTCGCTTGATGAACAACAGAACAGAACTGGGGAAGTTTTGGGTGCTTCTAGTCTCACCAATCAACAGGTTAGTTTGAATCTTCCCGAACAAGAGCCGTCTAGCAACTCAAGTTTAATCTTAAGTATTTGTCATTCTCGCATTGTATGTAAATTTCCTTTTCTATTTTATACCGGTGGTTCTGGATTTGTTTCTTATGCACAACCTTTGTGGAATATGGCTAAATGTCAGTGGAACTAGTTAACGGGTATTTAACCACAAAGAGAAGAACCTTAGCTACCATTATTATCACTGCCAAGGATCAAATATTTAATTGGGTGATAGGTGAGTAGTCATAGCTGCAACTTACGCGACCCACATATCCTAGAATTACAATGTCACAATTACTGGCATTTGTTTTTGCTGCATAAATAATTATCATCAGTTTTTAACCTCTTTTGAGGGGCACAGCAAACAATGGGAAAACTGCAGTTTAGAACACAGTGATTTTATCTGTAAGATATAGAGAAGTGATGCTGATGAAATAATGGTTTCCTGTAACTGCTGGAATAGCGGGCATCCATATACTCGTTATTACAGAAATCATGCCTAACAGTTCAGCTTGTAAAACACAGTCTAACTATCAAGGACTAAAATGGACTTAAATAGTCACACAAGGGCTAAATAATACTCGCTCCGTTCACAAATATAAGATTTTCTAACTTTTTCCTAAATCAGATGTATATAGACACGTTTTAGCGTGTTTGTTCACTCATTTCAGTCTGTATGTAGTCCATATTGAAATATCCAAAACTTCTTATATTTGTGAACGGAGGGAGCAGTACATTAATAGACCTATAATATAGCAATACTTGGAAGAACTTCTTGATGCTTGATGAGCTAGCGCCAGTCATTTTTTCTAATAATTATGGCTTCTGGTATCTTATTTTTATTTATTCCAAATAAGCTAATAGATATCATCATCTACAACATAACACTTGGTGTTTATTTGCAGGAAACTGACATTACAACGAAGAATTGTAGTGGTGAAGAGATTCCTGAATTTTGTAATACAGAGTCAATTTGGGTTGAGGGACTCGTGCCAGGAATCGATTTCTGTAACCATAGTAAGAGTCCTAAGTAAAGTACACGAATGATCTAGATTTAAGTCAGTTGGCATGACATATTGGAGGATACCCATAAGAAACACTTCAGTGTGTATTTGCCAAGAGTTACATGAATTTTACTAGTGAAGACAGTCAAGCTTTCTCTGTTAAATAAGTATTGATCTTTCCCCATTCTAAGATAAGCTTGATTGTCCACTCTAGATGTAAAGGCTCTGGCGACATGGGAAGTTGATTCGGTGGGAAATTTAACAGGAATTCCTGCTTCAATGTACCTCATGCTTGGTAATTATGCTGATCCAAATTTTGTATCTCATAGTTCTTCGTTTAAGATTTTTTTCCGAACTTGTTTGTTAGTAGATTATAGTTCCCACTATGGTCGTGTCTATTCTTTGTGGAGGCAAATTGCTCGGTAACATCACAGAGATCATGCCAGTTTAAAAACATCATCAGTGTCTTGTGTGTCACTGGCTCACTTACAAGTGGCCCCAGGGACCATTTGCCAGCCTCACATTAAATGGTGTTTTTCCATCTTATACAGTTTTACAATGTCACTGATCTAACCTCCTTATATTCGTTTCTTTCTGAAGTGCAAGCTGGTAAAAGCTCTGTTGAGACTGGGACAGAGATCTACATAAATTATGGCAACAAAGGAAATGAGGTACTTATACAATTATTAACAAATCTAGCCTTTGTTTTACAGCTTTTGAGACTTTAGAGTTGACTTTATTAAGGCATGGAGTAAGATGCGATGCGATGAAAACAGTGATAACATGTGATATCAAAGCATGAACTAACACTAGATCTAAGGGTATAAACCACCAGGACAGCTAAATATTATCCTATATAATATTTGTTACCTTCCGTTCTCTTTATATAACAATCCTTCCCTTTTGATCATATTTGATGGAGTTAGTATTTATCACCTGTCTTCAGACTTGTTCATCATCGTTTAGCTAGTACACGTCATGGTACATTTTTTCTAGAACGGTAAAAGTTCTCAGATGTAGTTTCTTTAGAGTTGCACACACAGTTACACGCCCGATGAATAATCTAGAGAAGAATTATCATGTAACTGAGGCCTGACAGCTTGCATAATGAAAGGATAAATGTTTGGACGGGGCGAGGGAGGTACACACACTCCAGTCCACTGGCTCCATGTCCATTTTGTTTTGTCCATTGGATCTGTGATTTTCTACATGGATCCACATATCCTTACAGATTTACTTTTGATACATATATGCTAGTTTAAGAGTGCATATTGGCTCTAGATTTTCAGCATACTTAAAACAGGGAAGGTACTTTTCTATCTCATTGGTGAATGACAAGTTGCACTAACATCATGTTTGTTATCAAGAAACTGTAGTGTGTTTCATGATTTACTATTTATGCGTGGGTTTAAAACAACATGTAGTCATTAAAGATACCAGCAAAGTCGCCATGATTTATGTATGGTTATCAGAATAGAATTACTGATGAAATGTATTTTGTGTTTACCAACAGGAATTGCTGTACCTATATGGATTTGTGGTTGACAATAATCCAGATGATTATCTCATGGTAACCCTCACATTGATGTATGCGCCAAAAGTTTGTAATAAGATTTGTAGGATATATTTTGCAAATTTCATTTTCTGGTTAACGTATAGATTGCATGCTAAATGTGAACCCATTAAAGTGACCGATTGCAACGAAACAAAAAGAACCAGCTCACACTAAAAGGAGAAACAGGAAAGTCATTATTCACTGCAATTTTAGAATTAGGAGTTAAAGTTTGATAAATGGTACATCAATGCCTTCAGCGTATTCTAAGTTTGATAATAGATCAATACCTTTTTTAAGAACCTCTTATAGCATACTTATGTAAGAAGTAGCTGTTTATCCTTTGATGTCCTTGCTTTAACTGCAGGTTCATTATCCAGTAGAAGCTCTTAGACAGCTTCAGTCTGCTGACGTTAAGATGAAACTAATTGAGATGCAGGTACAAATATGTGTTTATTTTTTTTAAAAAAATTACACCAAGTGTTTATGTTTATCTTGTATGGCTTCAACTATGTTCTGTTTAGATGAACTTACCCAACACAAAGTTTTCTGGAATTGAGTCAGAAATTTGATTGCACTTATTATCTATACCCCGCCGTCTTTGGTTTGTTTTGTATGGGGTATTTGATATTTACTGAGTGGCTCGAGTTATTTTTTTTATTTGGAAACACATGGTTCGAGATTGTGATGACTTTTCTAATGAATTCAACCCATCTGAGCAGCTGTTGCCACTTGCCAGCATGGCTCTCACTTTGTATGTATTTAATGTTTGCAGAAGGCTGAATTGAGATGTCTTCTACCTACAAGTTTGCTTGATAGGGGATTTTTAGGAACCAGCACCAGTTCTAGTGAAGATGATAACAAGAAAAATGCTAGTCATTTTTCTAGTTACAGTTGGAGTGGTCAACGCAAAGTTCCATCATATCTCCACAAAAATGTTTTCCCTCAAGAATTTTTAAGTACTCTTCGCACAATTGCCATGCAAGAACATGAGCTTGAACAGGTTGCTTCCCTGCTTGGAGAGGTTGGTGTTTTTCTTTCACATACTGAACAGCGTGGGTTGATTCCTACTCCCTCCGTTTGGAATTACTTGTCTCGGATATGGATGTATCTAGAACTAAAATACGTCTAGATACATCCATTTCTGCGACAAGTAATTCCGAACGGAGGGAGTAGATGACAAACTGGGTACTCTGAAAACAAAAGATGTAAAGTGAGTATTAGCTTCATATTTTAGCCATCATGCTACATTACCAACTGCTGGATGAGATGATGAGCTCCTTATATTTCTGTTTGGAGTAGCTTTACTATATATCATTATTGGTGTTAAAAAATACCATATAAAACATCGTTGTAGACCATCTGATTAACCTGTTAACAAGAGTGCCTGCTGTAAAGACACTGAGTTAAACCTGTGTATTTCCCTTTTTTGAAAGAGTTGTTCATGGAGGAACGGCGCTCTAGTTTCATAGCAATTTGTTTCGTTTGCTGATCTAACTCATTTTGAATTAAATTTTTGTTCTTAGCATTATGACATATGGCTTTTTTCTTTAAAGAAAAAGAGCGAGTCAAGAACCATTTTAGGATGCGTTGCATCTGGGCTTGAAGGACAGTAAGTGTTGTCTTTTTGTGATCATCTGGTTTTGAGACCCTTCTTTGAACTTGCTCTTACTAGGTTGGATCTAGTGAGGATGGAGAACCATCTGATGCAGAGATCAAAAGCGCTATATGGGAGGTGTGCGGTGATCATGGAGCGCTGGGATTGCTTGTGGATCTTCTTAGGGTGAAGTAATACAAACAATATGACTCCTTTTTCCTCCTCCTTCGTGCACCATGCACTTGTTATATTTGATAGAGCCCTGTCAAGTGTGAACAGTTAGTTGATCAATCCTCTCATTTTGCAAGAATGGCTGAACTTGAAGAAGGAACTGGAACAGAAGCATCTGACAGTCAACTGCTGGAGAAATTTGATTTCAACGATCCAGATGACTCCTTGAGGTAAATTTTCTTTATGTTGCTGGGAAGATGCCTGTTTTTATTTCCAACGCTTACTCTTCTTGTATAGATCTTAACATAATATAGTTATCCAAATTTACTTCTGGGCACTAGCAACAGTGACTATTTTAAGAGCCACAGTAAGCAATGTGTTCTTTTGGAGAAAGCACTCGATTGCCACAGCGTCAACGTGAGCAATGTAGCTGATATTGCTGGAATACCGCCTGAAATTTTCATCGCCCAGGGAAAACTAGAAATATGTTTCATTTGTTACGTCAATCAGTTCAATTGCCTGACCACTTTGGTTCCTGCAGTTATCTGTACATAAACAAGTCTGTAACTGTATTGTGCCATAAACAAGTGATTGACTCAAAACCGCACAATACCCTAGTTTCTGATCTTAGCTAGGGTGCATGTTTTGTCCGCATTGTCCTTAATAAATCTGACTGCCACGGCATCGGTGATTTCTTACTGTTTCCTTGTCCTCCTTTTCACAGTGCAACCGTCGAAGGCGTCGAAGCGACGAAATCGAGAGTGAACAGAAGGTCGTGTATAGTGTACCGTAGAGGGCAGAAGCAGCTGACGAGGATGTTCCTCAGGGAGGCGGAACGTCTTCTGGAGCTGTCCGCGGAGGAGCAGACATAGAGACTTTGCTTACCTGGTACAACATGTGTTGGGAGCGACACATCTCTAACTAGACTTGTGTTGTTCCGCTTTGGAGAAATATATTTGCTACACCCAAACTTTGGACAAATATTGTTATCCTTGTATTGGGTTTTTTCAGACTTAAAAATAGGATCACACTCACACAAGGAAAGTGTACACTAAATACAATCCGTATGCCAATATGTACCTAGAACGCGACGGCTGCCCATCAAGCTCACTTTATTTAGTCTGATAATATGGTCAATGTCTTTATGCATTTTCATTTCCCGTGGGATGATTATCATCATAGATTTGATGTCTTTTGTCATCTCCTCCTAACCTTAGGGTGAGAGGGAGGGTCATATGATCCATTTCATTATGAAGTTCATGTCGCGGACAAGTGGACCCTCCTATGGAAGCCACGTGCTTGCACCTCTTGAGAAAGTGGCCGTTAACACGCAATGCATCAATCATCTATGATGTTCAGAAACAAGAATCATGACCTTGTCTAGAAATCACCAAGGTGATGCTAAAAAATAAGAACCAAGATCTTGTCTAGGTACCGCCAAGATGATGCTAAGAAACAAGAACCAACATGGGCGGAATATAAGAGCCGGTCAGTTTACTCTAATATCACAATTGGCACTATGATAACCAAAAAACTTGTAGATATGGTGCGATGAAGGTGATGTTTGGTAGAGAAGAGTTGCATTCTGATGCTCAGCTAAGTAAAAGCTGCATTATGATTCTTAGCTAAGTAGTCTGAGGGCTAAACGGAGCATCTTGTGAAACATGCAATGGTGTATATAAAGCCCAGCACTGAAGAAACTTAGCGAGAAAATAAAAGCATATGCTGAAAGTGTGACATCAAAGTTACAAACCTCATGAAGTTACAAAAACGGGTTGCACAACTCATGAGCAGTACGTGCTATTAGTAATCACGTGTGAGATATACATGAACCGCGTGTTCAAAGTTAACCATATGCAGCACTAGATAAATTTTTTTAGAACGAAGGCTCGCGAGGAGCCCGGCTTTGAATTAACAAAGCCATCAACCGGCCAGGAGTTACAGCAAACAACCAAATTACAGCGGTCAGAAGGATACAATGGGAACACTGGACTGAAACGCTAACTACAACCTCCACAAGCAGCTAATGCAAAGGAAATTAAGATTACAGCTTGCAAAGGCCGAGCACTCCACACTAGGATCATATGAGGAAAAGCAGAGCAGCAAAGCAGGGCATATCCGACCTTCAAAGATGGCCATGCTCCAGGAACACCTAGAGAAGAAGGGGAACAACATCTTCCATCTCAATCACCGAAGAGGGACCCTACCCCCTCGCCATGGCTCGTAGGCGCCGCACCGTCGGGGTTTCGAGGAGCTCACCCTAGAGCTCGAAGAATGCCGCCCTCACATCGGAAGGTGGACATAGTGCGGCCACTTCAATTTGGGATATCCCTAGCCGGCCGCTCCGCCACGGTCCATGCCCAGCTAGGTGGAAATACGCTTCGTGGAATCGGACGATGAAGAGGAGGCAGCTCCGTCCCTCACCTGCAGCGCCTCCCGACCGCATCCCGCCTCCCTAACAGCGCCTCCAGCAAGGTCACGGCGCGCAAGGCGCCGCCGCCACCAAATCCGAGAGGATATAAGGTTTTCACCCGGGCAGGGTGGGTCGGGGTGGAAGCAGGGGACCTCGGCTGCGCCCCCATGGAGGAAAGCAGCGCCCTTGGGCGTTGCCGCCGCCGGACCGGCCGGACCGGCCAAGGTTTCCCCCGGTCCCCTAGCTGGCCACCAACTCGCACCAACGCCAGGGCCAGAGAGCAAATCACAAGCCACCGCCGACGGCGAGAGAGAGGTAGCCGGGAAGGGATTTCGAACCTCCAGATCTGACGAAGAATCTTCGCGCCGCGGCCGGATTCCACCAACCACCCGCCGCCCGCGCGGCCAGGCACACTGGCCAGCACCCCTGCGAACG